CTCCTCACATTCCTTCTTAAAATCCTTAACTGGTCTTTCATTATTTTATTTTTTAAAGAATTATTTTATTGGGACCAGCAGTTGGCATAATGGCTATGTTGCTGGACTCCCATGTAGTTGACTGTGGTTCAAGTCCCAGATGCTGGGCACATTTGCATGCATGCCCAAGATCCTAAGGGGAGAATGGAGGAGAAGAGATTGTGGCATGGCCATCCCCTCCTCGCTTTCTGTCTCTCTCTGTTTTTCTGGCAAGCGCATGTGCCCTATAGCAAAAACCTCTCCAAAAAAAAAAAAAAAGAAAGAAAGAAAGAAAGAAAGAAAAAGAAAATAATTATTTTATTTAACATTATTTGTTTGTTTGTTTAAATTTGACCAGAGAGGAACAGAGCAAGAGAGGGAAAGTGAGAAAGCAAGCCACCAGGTCTGAGACTTGAACCACAATCAGCCAAGTGGGAGTCCAGTACCCTTAACGGCCATGTTACCTGCTGGCTCCCAGTGGTCTTTTATTATCCTCAAGATAAAATCTACTCTTTTTAGCTGACACAAATGATAATAACAGTCACCACTTTTCTGAACACCTATTCTTTTGTTTTAAGTTTATATATTTATTTCTCCCAGTGAGCAAGAGACAGAAAGATTGCACCGCAACAGAGTCCTGACACGAGGATCTACCCACAGCCCTGTCCGACCCTGGATAACAAGCGCATGTGTCCGACATAGTCAAGGAATTCTCCTACCACATAGCTGGAACCCTCTGTGTAAGTCAGCCTCCTATAAAGAGTGCTCAGCATGCTCAAGGAGGCCCTAGGACTTGAACTCAAGACCTTTTCCATGTTGGTCTGTGCCCGTACCTGGTCCCAGATGCTGAATTTTGACAAAGGTTTTTTCAGCATTATGGAGATAATTCTATATTATTTTTCCTGAAGCCCATTAATGCGGTTTATGATATTAATGAATTTTCTCATAATGAACCTAACTTGTACTCTTGGAATTAATTGCCACCTAATAACAGTGAATTATATTTCTAATTGGGTGTTGGATTCTGCTCATTAATAAAATATTTATTAGTGCTATATATTTTGTACTTTTTCATTGATACTCATAAGTATTAGTCTGTAGTTTTCATTTTTTCAACATACTTATCGTGTTTAGATATCAATATTATACTAACCTCATAAAAACAGTTGGGAAACTCCATTTTATTACCAGTGCTTGTAAGATCATTTATAGGACATCAGGACTCTTATATTTGAAGGTTTGATAAAATTCCCCTATGAAATAATCGTGGTCTGCTACTTTTTCTAAGGAATGGTTTCTAGTAAGGGTCTCTAAGTCTTCCATAGGAACTGGCCTATTGAAGCTTTTTGTCTCTATCAATTTTGATAATCAGCATTTCCCTAAGAAATTACCCATTTTCTTGAAGTTTTTGTTTATTTATTTATTTATTATAAGAGAGATTTCTGTTATAGGGCCCGTGTGCTCACCAGAGAGACAGAGAGACAGAAAGCAAGAAATCACCCTCCCCCCCGGGGATGAGGGGATGGCCATGCAAGAGACAGAAAGCAAGAAATCACCTTCCCCCCCGGGGGTGAGGGGATGGCCATGCAATGGTCCCTTCTCCTCCATTCTCCTCTTGGAATTTTAAGCACACAAGCACATAGTCCAGCATTAGTTTTAAGCCACTAGGTCCAGGACTTGAACCATGGTCGACTACATGGGAGTCCAGCGACATAACCATTATACTATCTGCTAGTTCCTCAAAGTTTTTAAATGTATTTGTATATATTTTATTATTTATTTATTTACTTATTCATTTTTGGAGAGGTTTTTTGCTACAGGGCACGTGTGCTTGCCAGACAGACAGAGATAGAGAGACAGAAAGCAAGAAATCACCCCCCAGGAGGGATGGCCATGCCACAATCTCTTCTCCATTCTCTTCTCAAAATCTTAGGCACGCACGCACATGTGCCTGGCATGACTTTAAGCCACCGGGTCCAGGACTTGAACTGCGGTCAGCTACATGAGAGTTCAGCAACATAGCCATTATGCCAACTGCCGGTCCCTATTTGTATATATTTTAAATATATTTGTCTGCAAAGTCTCTTGTAAGTTTCCCCTTGTTTCAATGGCTATTTTTCAATTGCCTTTTTTTTTTTTAAAGAATTATTTTATTTAACTAACTTATTCTCTCCCTCCCTCCTTTCTCTTTTTCTCTCTCTCTCTCTTTCTCTCTCTTTCTTTCTTTCTAATTTGACCAGAGAGGGATAGAGGGAGAGGGAGAAAGGGAAGGAGGAAGGGAGAGAGAGAGGGAGGGAGGGAAGGAGAGGGAGGCGGGGGGAGAGAGAGCGAGAGGGAGAGGAGGCGGGGGGAGAGAGAGAGAGAGAAAGTGAGAAAGCAAGCTGCCATGTCCAGGACTTGAAGTGTGGTCAGCCATGTGGGAGTCCAGCACCCTTAACCATCATGCCACTTGCTGGCCCCCTCCTTTTTTTTTTTATTTAAGAGACTGGATCTGATTTGGTTGCCGACAGTGGCCTCAAACTTGTGATCCTTCTGCCTTAGCATGCCAGATAAATGAGATTATAGCCATACACCACCATGTCTGGGTTTCTGTCATTTGTTATTTTATGTATTTATCTCTCTTTTTCTTCTTATTCATGTTAGCTAGTAGTTGATCTATTTTGTCAATTTTTCCAATAAACAAAATGATCACAAGAATTACTGTGATTCTGGTTTAAGTTCCTCTAAAACTGTGAATCCTAGAACCAAACACAGTACTCGAGGTTTAAAACCAGAAACATAGCTTCCCCATTTGAGATACTTTTTTTTTTTTTTTTTTTTGTCAACACCTCACACAGTTGACTCACACGGTGTGCTCTCAACCAAAACCTCTAAGTAA